ATAAATTGTTATTCGGTAATACTAAATATTGATAAGTTCGGTACAGTATTCGGTATACCTCACATACCGATACCAAACTTCCAGCCCTACATGCAGATACCCGATAGTCAACAAGATTGCCATCCCAATGAGTGGGGCGATGATGGTGCGGAAATGGTTAGGAAGATAATGTAGGGTGGTTGTATTTCTTCTGTGTCAAACTAGTATCCATGTTTGTCAAAATAGTTTCATGTGTGTCGAACAATTATCCATGTTGGTTGAATTAGTATTCTAGTGTGTCGAGGTTTTCAAGACAGTTTTACCCAAGGATTCCTTCTGTCACTATTCCCATGTGACCCTTTTGGTAGCTATTCTCATGTTACCCTTTTTGTCAATATTCTCATGTAATCCTTTGTCTATTTAAGCATCCAGCATCACATACTTATTTAAGTATTACCAACTTAGCCAAGCATCGCCTGCTTATTCTTCTTCTCTTACCAAGCAAAGTCCATGACAGGAGACACTCCTAAACCTGCGCGTCGGGTGGAGGTTGATGAGTTCAAATATGACGGTGTTGTGTTATGAGATCCAGTAGACGTATTGTTGTTGATGGAGATAACCCACTGAGGAGGTTCTTACAATGTCCAATGTACAAGGACAAGGATGACAAGGGGTGTGGTTATCACATGGAATGGGTCGATGCAATGTTTCCCCGTCATTCAGTTTCGGAGGATGAAGATAACACTGAGGAAACCGTCTGAAAATGAACTAGTATTTTTTTCATGAGCTTGTATCCTTGTTTTATGAAACTGTATCATGTTGTGAGAAAGTAGTATCCAAATTTTTCTGGTGAATTTGTATCCTTCTTGAAATGAAGTAGTATTTTGTGTTCACTAAACCAATATCCTTTTTCTTAACCAAACCAGTATCCATGATCATTCAACTAATGTTTACTTGTGACCAAAATAACTCAACCACCCCAACTAATTACACCACATAAACTACTTACACTAACCAATGTTCTATTATTCCCAAGCTACTTTCACCTCCTCTATCTCTTCTCTTTCCCTTTCTCCTTCTCTCACTCAGTTGCCTAATTAATTAGGTCCTCCTTGTGGGTGTTATCTTCCTAAAGAAGGAGGTTGGTAGTAATGACTGCTCTTTGGTGCTCCACGTGCTCCTGAAAATGCCAAGTGACTGTCTATTCAGCCAGAAGGTGACCCACCTAGTGCTCCATGAACATGCATGTGAACACTGCACATCGTTTCCATCCCGCTGAGGAACATTAGCAACACTGGAAGACTACTCATCCATGTAAGTTTCTTTCATGTCTATTATATGTCCCAACCGTGAGGATAAGTCCAACAATCTGCCCAAATGTCGGTAAACCACAACATCCAACATCTCAAGTTGGAAGGACACATGTGCAAGCATAAAACATCAAGTATTTGACAATTACAAACTAGTAGCCACATTGAAAAAAATATACGTAGGCATGTATCCAAATGACCTACACTAGTATCCAGACAATGAATTACGAACTAATATTCACATTCAAACCAACTAGTATTGAAAGTTTACTAATTGATATCCACCTTGAAATAATCTAGCAATCCACAATCACGAACTAATATCCAAAGAACACAGAACAACATCCACACATCACATAACTAATATTCAGACAATCAATTACGAACTAATTTCCATTATCAAACTAGCATGAAACAAAATAATATTCCACAATCACCAACTATTTTTTTTAGATTATAAAATAAATTATCGCATTTATATTGACCGTTGAGATGGACGCAGACAGTGGAGAAGGTTTGATTTACGACGTACACCAGCTTTTGCCTGGTGTACGACAAAAGTCACCACATATATATATATATACTATGTTCCATGTACTCATAGTGAGATATCTCTATCTAGATCATGAATTAAATTGAGTTTGGGGTATGATACTATATCCTGACCTCAAATGGATAAACCCCAGTCCCCAATTTTCTAATCTCAAACCCAAAAGTTCAATTTAAGAGAAAATAAGAGTTGATCGTTGAGATTGGTCAGAGATAATCCATGCAAATCCAACGGTCAGATCATCTGGAGCATACTATGCTCCTGGAGCGTACCAGTCGTCTCCATATATATATATATATATATATATATATATATATACCAACGGTTCTGATTCAGCCAAATATATTGAAGTGCAAAAACCAAGTGTGAACACAGGCGTACAACGTACAACTGACGTACGCTAGCCTTTGCCATCCACACACACACACACACACATATATAGTTCAGGCTAGCATATGTTAGACGTATCCTTACCATATGCCCGTCGAGTTTTATTATTTAGACCATTAATTAACCGGAGTTCGGGGCATGATACTATATCCTAACCTCTAATGGGTAAACCCCAGTCCCCAATTCTCTAACCAAAATCATAAGATTCATTTAATTTTAAAATGAAAATTAAATGTTCAGATTTGTCGAAATTATCTAAGTACAATAATATGTGAATGATACCGTATGCTACCCTTTGCTATGTAGAAAATTCGAAAACTAGAATGCTCTCAAGTTGAGAAACCCTTCACTCAAACCCTAATCTTATTTTCTTTTCAATGATGGAGTTCATAGATCTCGAGTGTGATAAGAAGGGAAGTAAAGCCAGGAAGAGCTTATGGAAAGCGGATTCCTGGTGAGGTACGAGAATCGACCAGAAACCAAATTTTGGACGCCATTTCTCTTTTTCCTTTGAATTTTCACTCGCAAATCCTCGTCTCTGGGTCAGTTTCTTCCTATCTTTAGATGATAAACTATCCGAAACTAGCCTAGGACCTGAGTTGTCCTTCATTTTTGGCTTTGATTGAATTGAATTTAAATGTTTTAGTATCTTCTTTGAAAATTGATCATGATGTCTTCTTCCTCTATGCGTTATACATCTTATTCATGACAATTGCTTATTGATTTTAGGTTGAATGGGTCGAATTTATTCTTGGGGGAAGAATAAGGTTTTTTATGAAATCTGGAGTTCTTTCTATTGAATTCACATGGCTATGTTGGAACTGAACTTTCAATTGATACCCTGCTTTGCTCAAATATAATTTTCCATGATCATTTCGTGGTTAAAGTGATGATTGATTGTCGATTTGAAAAACTAGGGGTGGCAAAGATTTGGTGGAGCTAGGCGAGACTAGAGGTCATCAGGAAGAGAGGAAGAATTTGAATTTTTGTTGTTTTTCAACTTTTTATTTTTTTGTTGTTTTCTATTTTTTGTTTTTATTTTCGTTTTAATTTAATTGCAATATTTTTTTATATAAAATTTAATTGCAGTAATTTGAAATTGGAGGTTGTTTGGATTTTCTGAATTTTGTAATCTTGTTTGACAAGGCCACATGGGTTAATTGTTAATAATGATGTTGACCGTCCAATTTAACAATTACCACTTGGATGAAGCCAAATCAGCCATTTTAGGTGATAATTCAAGTGAGGAATGAGGATAGAAATTATGAAAATATTGATCAATATAAGCGTTTAAAATAAAGTTCGGATAATTTTAAAATAGGATAAATTGCAATGTTGGTCAATAACATTACAAAAAACGTTCATGTATGGTCACTAAAAATATTTAAATCGATTCATGGTCACTTAAATTAGCTAAATACTTCAAGTTTGGTCACTCTCCGTCCAACTCCGTTAACTTTTGCTTGTGTGGCGGTCAACTCTAATAGTTGACCGTTAAGTGTGTGACATGGCAATTAAAAAAATAATAAAATAAATAAATTTACTTTTTAAAATTTCCACATAATTTCTAGGGATGTGAATAACCCGCCAGCTAGGATCTCGTCGGAGAAGAAGTTCCTCGCAAATAGAGGTTCCTGAGCAAACCTTGATTTGTGATGTCGGACGGAAGGGACTAGATAGTATGACAACACTCTTTGTGTTGTTATTATAACAACACTAGTCTCCAACCAATAGGAAGCTATGCTTGTGATGACTTTTTATTATATGAGTTGACCTAGTGTAAAATCAAAGCAGGGGTATAATTGTCATTATGAAAAATATATTTAAATAATAAAAAATAAAAAACATAAAAAAATATTTTTTTTATTTTCGGCCCAAAATTTTGGTCGCCGGAATTCTGCCATAGGTCGCCGGAATATGCTTTTTGTCGCCGGAATATGCTATTTTGTCATCGGAATATGCCACTGTCGCCGAAATATGCTCATCGCGGTCAGAATATGCTTACCGGCATCGGAATCGAGTCATCGGGGCCGGAATATGCCTATCGGCGTCGAAATCTGCTGACTGACAGTCACCGGAGTTCGGTCAACAACCACCGGATGTTTGGTCTACATTGTGAGATTTATGGTTTGGCTTCTCATATTTTCGTATGCCTTTTGTGGTTTGCTTTATCGTGTTTGTGGTTTGCATGAAGAAGTTTCTGGTTTGCTTTATCGTGTTTGTGGTTTGCATTGAGAAGTTTATGGTTTGCTTTCAAAAACTTTGTGGTTTGCATTGTGAGGTTTTTGGTTTGTTTTAATATATTTGTGGTCTGCATTAGGACGTTTATGGTTTGCTTTTTTGTGGTTTGATTTACTGTGTTTGTGATTTGCATTAGGAGGTTTCTGGTGTGCTTTCGCAAATGTTGTGGTTTGCTTTGTGAGGTTTGTGGTTTGTTTTAGGAGATTTGTGGTATGCATTAGGAGGTTTCTGGTTTGCATTAAGAAGTTTCTGGTGTGCTTTTGAAACTTTTGTGGTTTGCTTTGCGAGATTTCTAATTTGTTTTAATATATTTGTGGTCTGCATTAGGACGTTTTTGGTTTGCTTTACCGTGTTTGTGGTTTGCATTAGGGGGTTTCTGGTTTGCATTAAGAGGTTTTTGGTGTGTTTTAGAAATAGTTGTGGTTTGCTTTGTGGTGTTTCTAGTATGTTTTAGGCAATTTATAGTCTGCATTAGCATATTTCTTGTATGCTTTCTAAATAATTGTGGTATACTTTTATGATATTTGTGGTATGTTTTATAAGATTTATGATGTGCATTCCAAGACTTTTGATGTACTTTCAAGTCAACTTGAAACTATTCGTTCTCCAGAGTCGCAGTAGCGGAGGGTCTTCATTTGAGTGATGGAGCAGAATTCATGTAGCCTTGACCGCAGCTGGGAGTCGGTGTTAATTGGGATGATGCCACATCATGCAAGGCATCATACATGACAAGTATTTTTTTGGCTGAAAGTTGAGGCCTATACATGTTGTAAACTACCATAACCGCCTGCAAAAACACAAACAAGATTGAGCCCCAGTGATGCTCCAATAAAGAATTAAGACATGTATATGCAAGCAGCTCTCCTTACAGAATGATTCACATAGATCAAGGCGGCTCTCCTCCTGCTCTGAAACTAAGATGCATTTAGGACACGATGACGGTGACGGTGACGATTACCTGAAACACCGCCGTCGCATCCGCCCCTTGTAGGAGAGAAAGTCGGCTTCTTTGGGATAGTTCTTCTCCGTAGGTCCAACGATTTGTCGAAATCCATGGCTGCCGTTACTCTGCTGATGGTGACACGGTGACGGTGACAGTTACCTGAAACACCGCCCACAACGAGACGATTGATTTCCCAGCAGATTTACAGCAACAGTCAAAATCTCCCACCGACTTTCGCAACCGCAGCGGCCTCATCTATTCAAACCATTTGTGCTGATTCAATCTCCGCTCTCGTCGTCGGCCCAATCTTTGTCGATTCCACAGCCTCAGCAGCGAATATAAAGGGAGACGGAATCGAATCGAAGAGACACATGATGATTGTGCTCCTGATGGTGACGTCCCTCGACTGGATCGGCTGGTTCCCGTCCTTTCTCTATGACACCGAGTTTATGGGTTGCGAGGGCGGCGCCGCCCTGGGAGTCTGCGTCGGAGCGTTGCGTCCTGGGAGTCTGCGTCTGAGGAAGTACACGTCGCCGGCCGGCGATGGGAGGAGCCTGAGAAGGACATCGGTGGTGGGGATCGTCGGTGGAAAGCTCGTGTGGAGGCATTGATCGGCGCCGGAACAAAGAAGGAAAGAGAGGCGGAGGAGACAAGGTAGGCGAAAACAGAGGAAAAACCCTGATCGGGGAAGGGAAAATTGGGGCATTGGAAATTAGTGGAGGAGAAGATTTTAATTTTATTTTGTTTTTATATTAATTTACCTTTTTGTCCTTAATAGTTGTTGTTGGTACCGTAACAACATATGGACTGTTGTTATACTATCTGCAAGATAGAGGCATAGGTGGAAAATCATTAAAATTAAGTTTTATTTATTTTATTATATTTTAATTGTCATGACACACATTTAACGGTCAATTATTAGAGTTGACCGCCACATAAACAAAAATTAACGGAATTGGATGAAAAGTGACCATAGTTGAAGTATTTAACTAATTTAAGTGACCATGAATGAATTTAAATATTTTTAGTAATCAAACATAAATGTTTTCAGTAATCTCAGTGACTGCAATTTACCCTAAGCCATTTAGAATCTGTGGTGGGGCTTTGACCCACTTTCAAAATCATCGTGGGCTTTGATGAGGTTGGGCCGCTGCAGCACCACCTATCTTGCATAAAGGGAAACCCAACTAACCAATGGGTGCCAGAGAGAGCACGGAATTATTAATCGAATTGACAACCAGTGCGTAATAATTGCTGTGCGCTGGCATATCCGTATATGTCGACGCCTCGCTATATATAAACAGACCACCACCCCTTCCGCAGTCGATACCAACGAAGAAGCAAAGCGTGGATTCTAAGCAGAGATCAGAGCAAAGCAGAGCGAGGAGCAGCAGCGCAGAAGCGAATATTCCAAATGGGTCTTCAGGTAAGGCTCCTAAAATCCTTTTGCGGCTTAAAAATTGCGCGATTCTGGGTCTGATCTCGACCCTTTGCCCCCTTCTACTACTGATGCTGTTTGCCGCCATTGTTGGCTCGTTTTTGCTCGATTTCGCCTTAGTTCTGTTCGATCTCTTGTTTCTCTTGTTACCGTGTTGCGTACCCAATTCATGTTAAAGATCCCTGCTTTAACACAATTCGGGATCTGGGTCCGCTCTGTCAACTGATTGTGTTGCTTGGATCTTCTAGTTGTTCAATCCCCATGCAAGTTCCTCCCCTTTTCACAAATTTATTGAGTCGTTGCTGTTTTGAGTTGGGAAGTTGACAAAACTAGAGAATCGATGGGCTTTGCTAATTAGAGTCGACTGGAAATCTACTGAGAAGCTCTGTGATGTGGTGATTGATTTGATGGTATGTTTGTATGGATGGCAGGAGGAATTTGATGAGCATGCTCAGAAGGCAATGACATTGCCGGAGAACACTTCCAATGAGAACAAGCTTATTCTGTATGGATTGTTCAAGCAAGCCACTTGTGGCCCAGTCAATACCTGTGTGTAGCCATCCAGATCACAATTTTCTACCATTGATACTTCACTGGATCTCGTTAGTTTTGAGTTCGTGAGATTCATCTCATCGGTTGCTTGTTTTGCAGCCCGTCCGGGGATCTTCAACATGAGGGATAGAACCAAATGGGATGCATGGAAGGCTGTTGAAGGTGTGTGTATTCAGATTTTGCAGGTTTCTTCTTCTTTTTTTTTTTTTTGGTAGGAAGAAATTTGCAGGTTTCTGTGCCTCTATAAATTCATCGTTAAACCAAAGATGGCTCGGACTTAAAAAAATAAACTTGTCTCTTTTTGGATTTTGGTTTGTGGCAGCCAAATCTAAGGAGGAGGCAATGAATGACTACATAACCAAGGTTAAGCAATTGCTGGAAGAAGCAGCTCCCGCCAGTTGATTGCCTGCCAGCTGACCAAGTCTATCTATGATTTAGTTGTCTTACCTCTGGGCACTGGGAAAAAATTCTGCTCAATAATTGGTTTATCCATCTGAACTGTCTCTGTGTGTAACATTTGGGAATATTTACTAGTCTTTGGAATTTCAATCCTGCCCAATTCATGTTTGCACTGCTACGCACATATTTGAGCTGAATGTTTCTCTTCTTTTGTTTCTTTCCTGTTCAAATCAAGTGAAATGTCACTAGAAATACAACATATTGCAATGGTTAATCTGAAAACCAACCTAAAAAAATGCTAAGGGAGTGAATCGAATGTACTTTAAAAAAAGACCCTTCAGAAAAGGACACGTGGATACATATATTCATATATTCGAGACCGAAGAAACAGTTTCCAGAACATAACCACAATTTCTGAGCACAGATTGAATCATAATTTTACCAGTTCATTTCCCCCTTGCCCCTAACAGTTAAACATCTTCACCCCAAATATACGGACGTATGTTCACTCTAAAACCTGCAGAAATTCAATAGAAGGGTGCTTCCAACAAAAACTGTTGAGAGATGCTTATATCAACCAAGAATGGGAAATTGACTGGCCTTCAAAAATGAAATGCTGAGGATAGTAGTATCAATAACATCAGTAAACTTGGATATATCTACTATTCCCTTTCAAGTTTGACATCCTATTCCCTTTCAAGAATTACATGTATCGAAGCTGCCACCAAAAAGGGTAAATGAAGGATCATGTTCAACAGAGCTCGGATAACTGTGTCTATACGTTATGATCACTAGAAACAAGCAGTTTTAACTTCTCTTCCTCTGCTGACATCTCACTCATTGATATCTGAGCGCTTGACTTGGCATTCATCTTGTTCCATTCATTCTCAACCCGGAAAAACACCCACTGAAAACGCCTGAAAATCTCCAAGGCAGTTATCGCAAAAACAGTCAGGTAGTTGTGCCGTAGATGAGCTGAGAGCTTGTACGTCCATGTGCATCGCAGAATCAAATTGCTCCCGATGACCCAAAAGTAAACCTGCAAATGATAACTTGCAGGTTATCTATAACTAGGAACAACAAGTCCAAGAATTCATATCATTGGCGAAACCAAAAAAAAAGTTGCCTTTCTTTCTAGTATTTATTTCTGTTCTTTAATGGACACTTAATTCATATTTGTAGGAAAATGGAGTAGTCAAGTTCGTGCAAAGATATTCAGATATCACAGACTTGTCTGGATCTCAGAACTAACCCAAATGCAGGAATGAAAAATCAATATAGCATTTGAATTCATGGAACTTACCCATTTCCTTCCATGCAATATGTATGACCAGATACTCGGTCTGTTGAATTTGAAAATCCGAGTAAAGCCACTGGTACAAGGGAAAAGGATTAACCAAACGTCCAACAGGAAAATCTTATTTATAAATGTCCAAATGAGGAAGATCAAGTACGTAAAATCATGTCAATGCATCAACCTATTGGGAAATTGTAAATTTTGGGAAACTGAATAGTAAGCCATCAACCATACCTCAAGTCCCAATCCCGGGTGACATCCCAATAGAAGGAATATAAGGAGTTCACCATACTTGAAACAAGCCAGAGAGGACGATAAAAGTTTGTCCACCTCTCAGGGAAGACATGATACTTCAGTGCCGATAAGAAAATGACTGGAACTGCAGTTGAATACTTCAAGGCTGCAAGTACAAGGAAATGAAGTTGGCATAGTGTCAACGAAACCAACCATAACGAAGACATCTTATCACCAAATTTGCAGGAAAAACTCCTTTGAAAACGATGGAAAAGCAGAAAAGAAAAGATAGAGTAATGTAGATGAGTGGGGGGGAGGGTGAACAAGTCCAAACACCAGTACCATTAAAAAGAGATGTTCTTTCCCTTGTATCCTTATATTGTCGAAGACACTGGAATAGCCGAAATAGATAAGGTAGAACAAGAACCAAAGGGATTGCAACAGAGTGGCTACCACAAATAGAGTCTGCTTCAAACCATGCAATGGTTGCAACCTGTACAAATTCAAACAAATTAATAGCATCAGTGCGGAGGAGATTTGGGCAGCAGTCAAAGCTATGGGGGGAACAACAAGAGAAAGGGTGATCAAGGGGACCTATACTTTCGATTTCTTCTCTATGGTGGGAGGTTTTTTTCGTATCAAGAGTTTGTTGGGAGGCCAGGGAAGTTCGGGACAGCTATTCGAAATCTTAGTGAAAGACTGGATTTGTTATCTCTTGTTTACTTTCCGAAATCTATGATTGATGCCTCACTCGAATTCTGAAAATGAATTTAACAAACAATTTCTTTGGGGAATTGCTCCACACGAAAAGAAAAAAAACACACATCATAAGGAAAATTCCTCAAATCATTAATCCAGGCATTGATGTTAATTGCTTGAGCTACAAGTTCACAAATCACCAAGTACTTGCACTATAGTGACATAATTTCATACCAAATTAATTCTCCCTTTTACATAAAGTTATAAAGCTTATCGGCTGCTTTATTTTACTAGTAACGCATAAGGGTTACAAGCTAGCCAGAAAAGAACACCATCTGAATACAAACCTGTCGGTGAACCATTCGACAAACTGAACGCTCCAGATCAGAAAAGACCTGCAAAGGAACAATGTGTGCAAGCAAATGTCAGAAGCCCCCTTTTCTCCATATAGTCGACATCAAAAGAATTAAGAAATCACAATGACAATTTTTCCAACTTACACAAAGTTACAGGTTACCCAACATTATTTATTAGAATCTTCAAGTCTTTTAACCAAAGTTAGTAAGACAAAAGAATTAGCATACAGATCACAATATATAGCATATAATCTATACCTTGGACATAGAGGTTAAGATATCAGCCAAGAAGAAGTCAGCAAATGTAATTGCCTGCAACAGAAAAAATAAAACCATAAAGCACGACTAGCATCACCATAAACTCTTCACATTACAGGCAAGGAAGAGATTAACAGTCCAAATCTGGTGTCGGGCCTGGCTCCTCTTAGAAGACAGGTACAAACAAGGCCTACAGCTGTTGCCACAAGATGTATATGCAAAGGACATTCAGCAATATGACAAAACTATGAAAGCAATGCAGCGATACAGCACCACAGTTAAATGGCTACTTACCTGTAGAGGGAAAACTATCCGCCAAAGGGTCCTCAACAAGAAGTAGCGCGATGACAAGTAGAATATATCGAAGGGGAATATCAAAAGCATTGCAACAGCACAATAGAGCAGAACCTGCAGTACAGGGAGGAGTAAATTAGTACTCTTAGTCAGACGTTCAAAACTATACTTTCCTTTCCGAAGTCATGCCAAATGGATACTCATTAAAGAGTTAATAGCAAGCTACATTGTGGATGCTGCAGGTAGCATGTCAAAACTTTTGGCCAACATTCATCCTTGGACAACAGCTTGCTTTTACACACTTACATATGCTTTATGCAATTCATTTTGAAGTGAATACTCTCACCACTTCCATGTCTCTGACAGTTCCAATTACTGTTTCAGCTGTGGTATTAATGCAACAATATTATACCAGCAAACAATTGCGGAAAAGAAAATCCTATATTAGAGTCACATAATCATGTACTTATTACTCATAAAGGCCAAAAGGTCGCTATATTCAATCGTAGAGAGTAACACACCATCGGCCACATATACAGATACACAGACCCGTACACATGCTTATGGTCCACCTATCATAATTCATTCCAAATTGAGTGGACCTTAAGAGTCGAGATACCAATCAATATCATCACCTCAGTAACTCTTAAAGAAAACACAATGGTTTCTGCATTCCTAGAAAACTAAGCATCAGGTATATCCTTAATCTTAGCAGCTTCACTCTCAGAAGAAGCCACAGGCCAATATGCTGTAGAAGTTCACGACTTCACGCGATGCAACTAGAGTCGATGACATAGAGACCAAACCCGCTAAACCCAAATATTGATTGATAAGTAATTAAAAGGAGCTTCTATTACACTGGTTGAGAGGCCGCCAAAGACACTTCTCCATGAGAATAGAGATACAGATAGGCCGTCATGCTACTTGGGACAATTATTGTCATCCACATGGCAACCTGAACAGATCAAAAGACCTGGCGTTAAGAGGGAAGGAAGATTCATTACCAAGTCACGGGAACATAAAAAGGATAACAACAGTCCTGTGTAATATAAGATCTATTTAGATAAGACTAACTTAATAAAACTGAACCTTCCATATTTCTCTGTGATTGAGATGGTTTTGGTCAAGATCAAAAATCTTAGCATAACTAACAGTTGACTGGGAAAAGACCCACAAATTAGCCCCCCAAAGCCAAACTGCAAATGTCTGCAATAACAAGTATAGATTAAGTACCAAGTAGAAAAGGGAAAAGGGGTGTGCAAGTAAACACCAGACAAAAAAGTCCATTACCACAAGAAGAAGAGGGTTGTAATACAAGAAAACCTCATAGAGAAAAAGGTCCCTCAAATTTGCACTCATTCTCATAACAGAACCCCATCCAATCTGCAAAATATTCATCACCCGATTAGGAATTAAATAAAGAACCAGCACCAAAATTATGTGCTCCCGATGATTCGTCTAATCTGAAAAAATGCTGTATGTTTATCAACTCACCTTACAACAAAAGAAACCCCACAGGAAGAACAGAAGCACCTGTTAACCCCAATAATATGACAGATTCAATGAGTTTTTTGTAAAGAAAAAAACCTAGAGAGGCCAGTTCAATCTGTACTTAATAATCATAAATGATGGTTGAAATCCCGCCCCAGAGAAAAGATTTAGCTCAAATTTATGCAAGATAAGAGCCTTAGATAAAAATGTCCAATCTAAGTCCTTCAACAACTAGAAGTTCAACTAAGTAGGACGGGTTACACTTGGGAGAAAAAACCCAAAGGTCTAACTGTCACAGAGTTCACCGGCATCCTATTATTATTAACTTTTATACTAAACCAAGAATTAGTGTCGAGACAATAAGTGAAAAACAGGAACCGAAGAACACCTTAAATCTCCACAACAGTATTGGAGATGGCATTATGACAGCTGCAGCACTAAGTGACATTGGAAGGCTTTTTGAGTTATCGGCCTCTGTTGAATGCGAGAACCCTTCTTCTGCACCATTCCCCTGCTCCCCACCTAGCAAACATGCCTAAAAACCATCAACCCGACGAAGAACATAAAGAAGAAACAAAACACTACTCCATGCAAACAATCAAGAGCAACCCATTACAACCAACATCCCAAAATCATAAACACCAGGAAGAATATGAATTAAAAGAAAAAAAGGAGAAACAGAAATTGAACTTCTGTTGCTACCAAGATCAAAGACAACAGGTCGGCTACCAGACTTCCTCAAATGCGGACTATTGCCAGGCAGTGCCACTTGACCTCCGAACATCAGATGCAAGCAACGCAATCAAATCCCCACTTCGCCTATCACCATTGAAATCAACCCGTGGTTCTCAAACCAGTGTGAAATTTTGGGGAAATGGCGAGAGACAAAAAAAAAAAAAAAACTAAACGAAAGAAACGAACAGAGCCGATCAGAGAAATGTGAGATCAAAGGGAGACTCACAGAGGAAACTAAGAAGTGGGTAATCGTTGGATTGCTCGGATTTCGTGTGTACCGTACTAGAACGATAGCCAAATTGTGAAGAGGGGGTTGGCTTTAGATCTCACCCACCTGGGAATGGATCGTTTCCCTCTAATTCAGGATGGTTCTTGTTTGTTTCTGAGGGACATCTTTGAGTGAAAGGGAAGGAAAGAAGGGAGACAAAGGGGACAATTTTGCAATTTTCACAAGAATGACGAGATGTAATTTGCAAAATTGGAAACGTCGGAAGATTGAAACGTTTCATGTATCGGTTTCGTTCTCTCTAACGATAACGTGACGTTATGCGGGGGCAAACGTGTAAAAGAAACGACGAGCTGCGTGGGGTGGGGTGGGGATGGAAATCCACACAATATCGTTATTCCGGAATTAAATAACAAAATTCCAAATACCAAATTACACTCTAAAATTAATTATAATTTCAAATACTAAATAATTCTGATATTTCAATGTCAATCTCTAAATATTTCGATACTGTCGAATACGAAATTAATTACATTTACAATTAATAATTAAATATATAAATTAGATTTAGTTGTCTAATTTAAGCAAAGAGACTAGACAAAGGATCTTGAGTTTGCCTAAAATCTCGAATATCGAATTACACCCTAAATCAATTCCAATCTCAATCCCTAAATAATTTTGAAATCTCAATCCCTAAATATTTTGGTACCCCAATCAGTATTATCAAATATAAAATTAATTAACTTTGTAATTGTTGATGCCAAGCTCGGAGGAGCCTGCTTCAATGTGTTTGAGGTCCGGTGAGCGCCGATCTTCCTGGCCAACGTCTGCCGCCAGCCTCCGAGATGGACACCTGCAAAACAAAAGGACCGCCGGCGGTGTGTCGGCGGGGACCTTCTCCGAAGCTCAAGTCAGTATTGAGAGGAGAGTAACCGGGAGCGGCGTATTGAGCCGACTCTTGAGAGAGATTTAGAGTTTTTATCTGAAATGAACTGCCGAGAAAACATAAATGAGCGTCCTATTTATAGGTGCCTCCTACTTCTTGCGTGGATGGCGTGAGATGAATAATAAAATAAAAATAATATATTTACCATGCAACCAACACTGGGTGCAATGGTTGGATGCAAATAATGAATTAAAGAGTATAAAATTATATAGGTTATCTCACCACCAACCGAAAGTTAGTGCAATGGATGGTTAGTACAAATAAAACGAGCAAAGATAAAGTAACAAATTATAGATGAAAGACGAGAATCACTTACCTTTCTCATCTTCTCATCCACGTGTACAACTAGGGTGAAAGGGGCCGGGTGTGTGTTGGTTGTTTTGAGATTGATAGATTTCAAGGGGATTAATTGTATACATTCTCTAGCTCATGTCCATGTGTTTAAAATGGAGGTTGCCACGTATTTCATGGGAAAATCATAGCTAGGATGGATGAATATTGGTTGGCTTTTTCACGTGTAAATGAATGTGAAAAATGAGTGGTGGCTTGTGAGGGAAAAATTCCAAAATACACATGTTTTTAAAAAAAATTCTCAAAATACACATGTTTTATGAAATATTCCCAATCTACACATGTTTTGACAAAACCGCGTTCGTTAAACGCGGTGAACAGTATCACCGCGGTCGTCGGAAGCGATGAACGCTTCACTGCAGCCTTTAAAAGCGGTGAACGCTTGTTGGCCATTCACCGCTTCTGTCCAATGCAGTGATGGTCTGATTATTATTATTATTATTTTTTTTATGAAGGGATGGCCTGATTACTTAATTAGGGTCTGTCCGAGGAAGACGGAGAGGCCCCGGACGTGGCCGTGGCGACCGCTTGAGAAAAGCAGGTCGAGAATCAATCACCGGAATCATTCAAGCTCGACTGGGATGGTGTCAGATCTCCGTGACCGATTTTGGGTTGTCGCCGGAAGATATGGTCGCCGGGCAGGGGGTTTTGAACATTGTTGTTAGGTTTACAGGAGGAGGATTAATGGCACAGCAGCGGCAGCCGCCGCCTGGGGAATCGGTGGAATCCACTGAGAAAGATGCGATGAGTTGTAGAAGGAAAATAGATCAAAGGGGGCAGAAGAAGAATTAGAAGAGAACTGGTGGCCGACGACCACTTTTTTGCGATAGAGAAGCACTGATAATTACTTTGGGCATATAATTACTTTTATGGGCCTTTAGTTAGAATTACCAAATCTTCTGCCTACAAAAAGTAAGCCGTGATAATAATCAGGCCATCACCGCGTTGGACACAAGCGGTGATTGGCCAACAAGCGTTCACCGCGTTTATAGGATGCAGTGAAGCGTTCATCGCTTCAGACGACCGCAGTGATACTGTTCACCGCGTTTAACGATCACAGTTTTGTCCAAACATGCGTAGATTGGGAATATTTCATAAAACGTGTGTATTTTGAGAATTTTTTTTAAAAACATGTGTATTTTGGGATTTTTTCCTGGCTTGTGATCAAGTGGAGAGGTGGAAGAAGAAAGTCATTTGTGTAGGGGAAATGAAGCAAATAAATCATTCTTGTCTTTCTCCCTTGAAGCCACGTGGATGAAGTAGAAATAAGGGTTTACCTTGTGTTAACTTTGCTTAATTGGGATGAATAACAAACAATTAAATGTGACCAACTAACCAAAATTACCTTCTTCCACGTGGGTGTATTTAGTGGAAATGGGTTTGGGGTCTTTGATGGGAGAAAATGAACCAACCAATAAAAAAGTTAATTGGTGACGATGTCACAACTCTCGTTATACGTATAATAGAGCAAGAGAGTCTACCCCCCAACTTGAATCATTCACTGATCGTCCTAATCCCTACGATCAAAGAACCAACAACGCTTAAGGAATTTTGGCCGATAAACTTATGTAATGTCCATTACAAGATTGTGGCGAAGATGCTAGCAAACCGAATGAAGAGCCTGCTGGATATCGTGATCTCCCCGGAATAGAGCGCCCCGGGCACTTTATAGCAGAAAATATCATGACAGCTTTTGAGTGTTTGCACACGATGAAGAAGCAGACAAAGAATAAGAAGGGCTACTTTGCAGCAAAGACGAATATGGCAAAGGCGTACGATAAGGTGGAATGGTGGTTCCTGGAGGGTGTAATGAAGAATATGGGCTTTGCTGACAGATGGGTTTGACTAGTGATTTGTTTGACATCTATATCCTACTCGGTGCTTGTGAATGGTCACCGCTCTCTTAGTTTAATCCAGAGTAGAGGCCTCCGACAAGAAATCCGCTCTCACCGTGTCTTTTTCTACTGGTGGCAGAAGGTTTATCGTCTTATATAGGAAAAGCAATGCAAGATGGGAGGATCCATGGATTATAGGTTGCGCAACGGGCCCCTGCAGTCGCATCTTTTTTTGCTGACGACTCTATATTTTTTGCTAGGGCCACATCGCAAGAGAGTCGGGACCTGAAACATATTCTCAGCGGCTATGAAAAAGAATCTGGCCAGATGATAAGCTATGAAAAGTCGAAAGTGTCTTTTGGGGCAAGTGTGAAGCCGCACCAAAATCTCCAAGTGAGCTCGATCTTGAATATGAAAACTGTGAAAAAGCATGATAAGTATATTGGTTTAGCCACTGAGGCAAGCAGATCGAAGAAAAAATTGTTTACTACCATTAAGGAAAGAGTGAGAAAGAAGCTTTCTGGATGGAAGGAGAGAAATATGTCTGTAGTTGCTCGAGAGGTTCTGATTAAATTTGTGGCCCACGCCCAACTGACTTATGTCATGTCGGTTTTTTGAGCACCTTATGGAATTATTAGGCCTGGCAATCGGGTCGGGTTGGGTAATTTTGGGTTCGGAACTTTGGTTACGGGTCGGGTCATGTTTGGTTGGCTTATTTTGGGTTAAATATTGACCCAACCCATTCGGTTTTGGGTCGGGTTACAGGTCATTTCGGGTTATGAGCGTTCTCAGAAATAATATCTAACATGCTTCATATTTTCTTAAAGAACACAAATTTTCACACATGCATAACAATAGTTTACCTAACACATGTCAATTAACATATTCTCAAATCCTCCCATGATGATGAAATGAAATATAAATTGCGCAAATCATCAAAAAACAATCACAAGAGTAATTCTACTACAAGAAACACATGATATTTGATTATCCTTAAACTCCAAACATGTCATTCAAATCGTGTGATTTTTTTTAAACATCTCACCAATTTATGAGTGATTTTATCATATTTTGGGAGTAATATATTAACTGGAACGGGTCTAACGGGTCGATCCATTAACCCACCCAACCTGACCCAAAAATCACGGGTTATCGGGTTCGGGTCATTCGAATTTCGGGTTACAAAAATTTCTAGTTTTCGGGCGGTTTCGGGCTGGGTCAACGGGTCGGGTTGTAATTTTCCAGATCTAGAAATTATTGACGATGCCCATGGCACGATTGTGCGTTTCTGGTGAGGACAAAAAGGAACCGAGAAGAGAATCCCATGGATATCGAGGGAGAAGCTAAACTACCCGGAGGGGGGTATTGGATTCCGCTGCTTTGCTAGCTAGAAAAATATGGAACCTTCATCAGTGACAGTCCTCACTTATTGCAAGGATGGTGAAGGAAAAACAGCTCTCGAGGAAAATGTCGGGTACCAACATAGTTTTGATAGGTAATGAGTGCACAAGAATTATTATGCAACGGGTTGAGGTGGAGGATAGGTAATGGTGATTCGGTGACCGTTTGGGGGGGGGGGGGGGGAGGGGTGCGGACAGATGGTTGTCGGATGTCCCGGGTTTCTTTGTTCAGTCGCCACCAATGGGGCTTTTGATCGACTCGAACGTCAATGGGACGAAGCAATTGTTGAAAGGTGCTTTCCAGCGGCGATGGTGGACACCATTTTGTGCATCCCGCTACGAGGTATCTGCAAACCCGATCGGGAAATTTGCGCATCGAGCAAAACTGGGAGCTACGAAGTAAGGGAGGGTTATTGCATGTGATTGAGGATTTCAAGGACTTCAAAGATGTGGAACGCTATCTGGACTATGCGTCATTTTATGTGGCAGTTTGCAAGGACTTCCCTAGCTACAGGTGACCGGGTTAGTGCGAGAAGTGCGCGATGAGGAGATGCTTGCCTGTTCTGCAATCTTAAGGAGACCCAAATTCATATTTTTGGTGAGTGTGGTTGGGCATGCAGAATATAGCGCTCATGAACTCGAGCGAAGTGGTTTGAGATGAGGGATAATGCGGGATGCCTTGACTAGGTGGCGAAAATGGTTAAAGCAGCGACAACGAGGAGTTTGTGGACTGGAGTACCTTGCTATGGTTTCTTTGGAAAGAGCGTATCACACATTTGTTCAATAGTGCTAACTTAGTCGAAGAAGAAATCGTTATGCGAGCCCATGCATTCTTTGATTATTATCGACAATTCTAGGAGACGCTACAGGATAGACCAGGACGAGGCGTGCCTAAAATCTGGAGTAGCCCAATGGAAGAAAAAATTAAAGTCAAAGCAGACGTTGATGTGGTGAATGGAGGAATGGATTTGGGCGTCATTATTCGAGATGCTATGTGGTGTTTCGTGTTAGCGGCAACTAAGAAGATCCGTAATGGGGGAGAATCAGAGATGGGCGAGGCCCTGGCGGGAGAGTTCGACATCCAGTTGGTGTGACAACACCAGTTGGGAACTCCAGTTCTCCAAACAGATTGCTAAGCTTTCAACAACAAGGAAAATCGAAACTGAAGTGGGAGTAATTTGTCATGGTATATGCAAACTGATGGGAGAGGTCGGAGGTGGTGAGTGAAGGCATGTGAGTAGGTCTACGAATGAGACTGTTCATATTATGACATATGTTAATACAAGGTGGAATGTATCAGAGATCTAATTTGATAGACGACCTATGTATTTACTTAATCAACTGAAACTAGATGAAGTAATAATTTCTTCTGATTAATAAAGTTTGGAGCAGATTACCATATAAAACAAATATATCGAACCCTGGAGATGGAGCTCAACACTACCATTAATCCCATAACTATTTTTTTTTTACGCGGCGGATAGTTTGAAGAATCGGAAAGAGACGCCCACATCAGTCTCTTCTTCCCAAATCCCAACCCTGGAGCCCTTTTCCCCCGACCACCTCCATTTGCTGCCGGCGAGTACCTCGTTTCTACTCCCAGCAGAAGAATGCCCCCGATCAGAAGCTTCACTCTTACACCTTCCCGCCTGAAAGACATCCTCCTCCTCTTCTCCCTCCTCGCCGTAGTCTACCTCACCTTTCGCAACCCTCTGCCACGACCACCGCCGTCAGATCGCGGCGAGCTCCCCTCGTCTTCAACCCCCACCACCCGCAGCCACATCCTCTTCTCCATAGCCTCATCCTACGGTGTCTTCCTCCGCCGCAAACCTTACATCAGCCTCTGGTACGACCCCAACTCCACCCGTGCTTTCGCCTTCCTAGACGCCGCCCCGGCCGATCTCCCCTCCGATCTCCCTCCGGTAATAATCTCAGAGGACACATCTCGCTTCCCTTACACATTCAAGGGCGGGCTGCGATCTGCAATCAGAGTTGCGCGGGTTGTGAAGGAAGCCGTCGAGCTCAATCAAACCGGCGTGCGGTGGTTCGTCTTCGGCGACGACGATACGGTTTTCTTCGTCGATAATTTGATCAAGACGCTGTCGAAGTACGATCACACGCGGTGGTTCTACATCGGGAGCAATTCCGAGAGCTACGAGCAGAACATGAAGCATTCATTCGATATGGGCTTCGGCGGTGGCGGTTTTGCAATCAGTTCCCCCTTGGCTAGGGTTTTATCTAGGGTTTTAGACTCTTGCTTGGTGCGTTACTCCCATTTGTACGGAAGCGATGCCAGGATCTTCTCTTGCTTGGCCGAGTTGGGTGTTGGGCTGACTCACGAGCCTGGCTTCCACCAGGTGAACCTCAAACTTCAAAATCTTCCCATCAATTTTCAATTCCGTCTGCATTAGGAAATTTAGAATGCAACTCTTGGCAGATGGAGAATAATGAGTTTTAGCCATAGTATTGAAGAAAGTTCCCTTATTTAGTTCTGTGCTGTCAGGTTGACTTGCGGGGGAATTTATTCGGGTTGCTTTCAGCTCATCCATTGTCGCCATTGATATCTCTTCATCATCTGGAAGCTTCAACCCCTGTTTTCCCCACTATGAACCAAACTCAAGCTATGGAACATCTTTTCCAGGCTGTGCATGCCGACCCTACTAGGATTTTGCAGCAAGTAGTTTGTTATGACCACACAAATTCCTTCACTGTTTCAATCGCGTGGGGCTATTCGATTCAGGTGTTTGAAGGAAATGAGCTTCTTCCTGATCTTCTCTCGCTGCAGCAGACCTTTTCTCCGTGGAGAAGACATCGAAACCCACTTGCTGGCTATTACATGTTCACCATGAGACCCTATCCTAAAGATCCATGCAAAAGGCCTGCTGTCTTCTTTATGAAAAATGTTAAGTCTGGTGAAGACGGGATTTGGAGCAGTTACACTAGGCACAATGTTGAGGATTGCTCTAGGGCTTCTAGGGCCATAAATAATCTCGAGTACATCAAGGTATCATCGGATAAATTGAAGCTTGATGCTGAACAGGTATAAAATGAGTTGACGTGGTATTCTTTTGACTGCCAACTTAAAAATTGGTTTCAGCTGTGCTGACTGGTTCTGTACCTGCAGATTTGGGCTCTACGTCGGCAGTGTTGTGATGTTTCCTCCTCATCTGAGAAATCCATGGTTATTAGAATCAGGCAGTGCGGAAATAATGAACTGATTGCCATGCATCTATAGCGATTCTGGAATATGTATACATGTTTTATACTGAAAGTACTTTGGAGCTTGAATCAGTAGCATGCCAGTGTTTAAATCATTGGTAGTTATTCTTGGCTTGTATGCTCTGCTTCATTTGATAATTTATATCTTCGTGGGTGTGACCGCTTCATTTCATTAATATCATTCCCTTGTCTTCTTTTAGGAAAGAGAAAATTGCAAGAATTCTGTTGCTCGGTTCCACCTCACTGCTGAAGAATTTGAGAGTGGCCTTGATGGGTCAAAACAGACTTCTGCTAATATCTGTTGACTTGTTTACTTGGCTCGAGCTCTCAAGTAGAGACCCCCCTAAACTTGCTTTGATGTGAATAGCATACTTCGACGGAATCTGTTTTATGATCTGGGTTTGTAGATAGAGATTGAAAGAAATGTCACATCATATCGACCAACTCCAAGCTGGACAGATTATATGAATGACTCATCTGTGGTATTCTTCTACTCAGCTCTGTCGTTCAGTTGTGTATTGTTGTGAAAGCAGTATACAGTCTCTCTCTCTCTCTCTCTCTCTCTCTCTCTCTCTCTCTTGTCTTGTAAGAAATGATAGATTATTAGATATGAACATTGTATTCTCATGTAGGTTTTGATTTCTGGAGTAAGTGCTGATTCTGTTTCCAGATTCTTCGAAGTCGAGGGGTTTTCATTCACGTCCAGAGATCAGCATCTTTAAAAGGTTAGGAAAGTGAAAGGTGTTTGTTCTCTTCGTAAGGAATTAAAAGGGATTGGATCTTTAACTTTGCCTTCAATATCTGTAACCAATTTTTATGAATCGAAGCAATACTATAGCCCTCCTTTTTTGGGAGTTCGGGCTACTGACAGATGGTTCTCATTTTTAAGTATTGCAAGGAGTAAACATGCAGTAACTACTAAGTAGGTTGACTCAAACCAGGTTGATGAACCCCTTTGCTTTGGATCTGTTCAAAATAATTTTTTTCGTAACATGTACTAATTGAATTGAAAAACAAGCTGCACATGTGACATCACCATACATATAATGAATAAAACTTAGACCTAATTCATGTTCATATGATGCATTTGTTTTCTATTGAGTTGTACGCTGCAGAAACTGCTATTTTCCTTTTCAACTTATCTACGCTATACCATTCTGTTTACTTTTCTGTTGAAGAAATGGCAACATAAACCATTCTGTTGACTTTTCTGGGTTTCTTTTTCCCTTCATACGCCGTCCCTAATAATACAGTACGTGTAAGGAAAGAGTGGTTTTTGGCAGTTCTAAGTTCATTGAAAGAAACCTACTTTTCTTGGACTTGAGGTTGCCCACATCTCACACGACTGAAAATGTGATTGAGAGATTGTTGAAAATTTCATCAACCCATTGGACCTTAATTCCCAAGTGAATCTAAAAAGGAGCGGCTTTGATTGCAAAAGCAGCAGACTTTGCTTCCTCCTTAGATTGAGATGAAACATCTGACTTTTCTTCCCTTTCTGTAAGGCCTAACTCTACGCACTTCCTTCATGCTTAGAAAATATTCCAACTCGCTTCTTTTTCCACCTTCAGTTTCGCCTGTGATATATGAGCCTGATTGAACCTATAAGTCCAAGATAAAATTCGAAGTCAAAACCTTCCCTCCTGACAGAGACTGCAGAGAACTTCCACACTTGGAAACAATGCAGCTTTTTCATTCAACTTCTAAGCCAAACTCTTCTTCTACACGTTTCATCAGCTTCATCATCTTCTCATCATCCATCCTCACAGTCTACCTTCTGGTCTCGCTCTTCCTCGTCGGTTCCTCCAAGCTCACGAGCGTAACTTCCTGGGAAAGTTCAGCTTCACAACACTCACCGACCACTCTCGAGCACATTGTGTTCGGGATTGCTTCCAACAAGAAATCATGGCAGAAGCGGAAGGAGTACGTGAAGCTCTGGTGGAAGCAGCCACATCCGCAGCAGCAGATAGCGATGAGGGGCTGCGTGTTCCTCGAGGAGCCGCCTGATGACTTCAATGTCACCTCTGGCAATGACAATGCCACCCTCCCTCCAATCTGCATCTCTCAGGATACCTCCAGGTTCCGTTACACCTTCAAAAATGGTCTGCGGTCGGCGATTCGGGTGGCACGTGTGGTTTCCGAGACGGTGGCACTGAATCATTCCGACGTCAGGTGGTTTGTGTTTGGTGATGACGACACAGTTTTCTTCCCCGAGAACTTGGTGAAGACGTTATCAAAGTATGATCACGGGCTTTGGTACTACATAGGGTCGAACTCGGAGATCTACGAGCAGAATAGGTTGTTTGGGTTTGACATGGCTTATGGTGGAGCAGGATTTGCTATTAGCTATCCGCTGGCTAAAGTTCTCGCCAAGGTTTTTGATTCTTGTATCGAAAGGTACCCTCATCTTTATGGAAGTGATTCCAGGATCTCTTCTTGCTTGGCTGAGCTTGGCGTGACGTTAACTCGAGAGCCCGGTTTCCATCAGGTATGTATGTGTATCATATTTTAATGATGTATCACCACCCTGGTTTCTTAGGAAAGCCCAGTTTCCATACTGACAATTTGCTTCTTTTCCAGCTGGATTTCCATGGCAATATGTTCGGTATACTGACATCACATCCAACGACACCATTAGTATCCCTCCATCACATGGACCACATCGACGCAATCTTCCCCAAAATGACAACCCGAGACTCTGTTAAGCATTTACTAGAAGCAGCAAGGATTGATTCCCAGAGGGTTCTGCAGAAGACTGTGTGCTATGATCGCTGGTTCTTGTGGACCATTTCTGTTTCATGGGGCTACGCAGTTGAGGTCTACGGCAATCACATGCTTCTCCCTGATGTTCTTCCCGTCCAAACCACTTTCAGGCAATGGAGCAAAGGTGACGTTCTAGCTGCAACGTACGTTTTCAACACCAGACGGCCTCACCCGGATCCATGCAGAAGAGCCACAGTTTTCTTTCTTGATCGTGCTTCTTCTGAGGTGACTAATAATCAACAGTTGGTGACCAGCCATTACAAGAAGCTGTTTGTAAACTGCTCGCAAGATATGGGTTCACCTAGAAGACTTGAAGAGATTAAGGTGGTCTCGCATAAGCTTGACCTCAGCGACAAACAGGTATGGTAGATGCTGCTGATTGATTTCTTTCTGTAACCTCTTAAGATGATTGATCGCTGATTTGATTTGATTTGTTTAAGCTGCGGGCTCCAAGGCGGCAGTGCTGTGAAGTTTTGCCTTCTTCTGGGAATAAAGTGATGGACATTGCGATTAGGGAATGCAAAGATGACGAACTGATTCACATGAAATAGGTAAACTTGATTTGTTGTTTATGGAGGCATACATTCTTGGTTGCCATTGCAAGATTCACACTGATCTCGAATGAAGCTTAAGAGATAAAAACCCAGACAAGGGTTGGGGATCTAGTAGCTGTTGTGCAGAGGCAGTGGGAAGTAAAGTAAAAGCATGCCCCAACTCTTGTGGAGTAATTCAAGAGGGAATACAGAGGCTTATTTGACCTTTTCTTTCTGGAAAAGAATCCACTTTTGATTATTTGTGCATATTTTGTAAGAATGATGAAGTAGAAACCACAGAAAAATGTATCCTTACACGGACACAGAATATGGAGGATAAATTTTCATCCAATGAATAAAGTAAAGAAAGCAATGAACTTTCTTGTCATGTATTTGGTTTTTATATCTTCCTTATCTGCTGAGTCTTTTTGTTGATCCGATTGTAGATTTAGTGCTGGCTGTGGGCAGGGCAGGGTGTCCAACGGTCCGCACCTGTCCAGACCTGTTTTGAACCGGATCGAATATCACATTAAGAAGAGGTTGAACTGGTCTGTTCAGCCCCTATGATTTTACTTGTTGAGATGGAATCAAGACTAAAAATATGACGGAAATATCTCCGTTTGGTCTGGATTGGTTTGTGCGCAGGTTTAATCCAATTCGGCCCCGACTCAAAATACTAAACCCTAGAATGGGTAAAAGATTTTGGGTTTGAAAGGAAGAAAAGAGGTGAGGAGTAGCAATTGGTTTGATGAAGACTGGCTTCCCAACTTCAATTTATCAATTCTGCTGCTGACTTGCACAAGTCTAAAGGAAGACTTTGCAGGTCTTCTTTACGATATAAAGCAAATGTGAATGGCTATATCACACGAAGAGACTTCTGCTTGTCGGCACGTTTCTTAGGAAAAATTTCCCTTTTGCAACCGTGTTAAATGGTTAGGAAGGTTAATTTATTGTCCCACTTCTGTCTGAGCTCACCTCATCCCTGGTTCAAAAAATGAAGTCCATGATATCTTTCATATTTCTGTCTCTACTGCTGCTTCATTTCTACAACCCCATTAGAGGCCAAAACACAGATCCTTTTGTGATCTGTGGCACAAATGGAAACTACACTTCAGGAAGTTCGTTTCAGCAGAATCTGAACCAGACACTGACGTCACTTGCTGCGAATGCGTCCCACACAGGTTACTACACTACCTCTGCAGGTCAAAACCCTAATGCTGTTTATGGTCTCATTCAGTGCAGGGCTTATCTTTCCAAAGAGGACTGTCAAACTTGTGCAGACAAAGTAGTTTCAGAGGTCACCCAATTGTGTCCTTACAGAAAGGAAGCTACCAGATATAATGGAGAGTGTTCCTTACAGTATTCAGACTGGAGATTCTTTGGTCAACTTGATAGCACACTGAGGATTATTGTTACTTATGGTGGGGAGAAACCTAGTAACATGACTCTTTTTAGAAGTCAGCTACGTTACTTGCTTCAGAATCTTACGTTAATAGCTCAAACTGACAATTCTAGATTGGCTATGGGGAGCATAAGTTACTTGACATTTACTCCAATCTATGGTATGGTCGAGTGTGTCAGAGATTTATCTGGACAGGGATGTGTATTTTGCCTTCAAGATCTGTTCGAGTTTATTCCTTCAGCTTTGGGTGACCAGCCTAATGGTCAGTTGTCTGCTATAAGTTGCAGTTTCCGATATGGTCTGTTTAAGTTCTTTCAATTTTCACTACCACCACCTCCTCCACCACCTCCATCCCCGCCACTGCCTCTTCAGCCGCCTCCTTCACCACTGCCTCGACCGCCAACATCACCACTTGAACCAAATGCAACATTTGCTTCAAGTAATGGTAAGTTATCATTTCCAACTATGGAAGATTTCTGAAGGAACATGAATCTATCATTGATGCATTAATATCCTGATGCTGCAGGAAAAGTGTTTCGAATCGTTATTATGGCGATCACACCGGTGGCTGTTGTTGCATTGATTATAGTACCAGGAATCTATTGTTGCTTCTTGTATTGGGGGAAATACACAAGGAAATTATTTGGTAAGTGAGTTTCATACTATAAAAGGCTTCTCCTTCTATTAGAGCTTTCAGTCGAGAATCTATCTGAAACTGTTTCCTGATATATATTATGATCGAGAAGGTGGAAATGATGAATATGATGGTTCAAGCTCAGAAACACTTTTGGTTCCATTCAGTGTACTTAAAGCAGCCACAAGCGGCTTTTCTGATGGAAACAAGCTTGGACAAGGTGGTTTTGGTGCAGTTTATAAGGTAACAACTTGACTTCTTAATGCTGTTACAAATTGTTAGTTACTTTTATTCTTTGTTAAAATAATTACGATGTAAAAAGAAAAAACACAATTCAGGGGAAAATGCCTGATGGGCAAGAGGTAGCTGTGAAAAGGCTATTAACAAGCTCAAGTCAGGGCTTGGAAGAGCTTAAAACGGAAGTGAGGCTGGTTGCAAAACTTGAACATACTAATTTGGTGAGGTTGCTGGGCTGCTGCATTCAAGGAAAGGAACAGCTTCTTGTCTATGAGTACATTTCCAATGGGAACTTGGACCAACTACTATTTGGTATCAACTATGACATTTCAGGAACTTGTCTTCTCCTTCTCCTTTTTGATTGGAAAGTCCCGTTAACGGACTAAGTGAAATTTGCAAAATCTTTTGATGAAGCAGGTGAGAACAAAAAGTCCATATTGACTTGGGAAACAAGGTACAGAATCATTGTTGGAATTGCTCGAGGAATGCTTTATCTGCATGAAGATTCGCGTCTTAAGATTGTTCATCGCGATTTGAAAGGAGCTAACATTCTGTTGGATGAGTCTATGAACCCTAAAATTGCAGATTTTGGGACTGCAAGACTCTTTTCAGCCACTCAGACTCACATCAGCACAAAAAAAGTTGCAGGCACTCGGTAAAGAAACAAAAACGATTTCTAGTCATTGAATCAACATATTTAAAACTCAATCTCATGTTTTTCTTTTGCAAATGATTGAAGCGGTTATATGCCCCCAGAGTATGTCAAGAATGGTCAGTTCTCTACTGTATCCGATGTCTATAGCTTTGGAATTCTGGTCTTGGAGATCATTTCTGGTGAAAGGATTACCACTCCTCGTAACTACTCTAATCTTCAGAGTGATGTGCGTATAATGAGACTATCTTTCATTTTTTTTTTTTTGTATGGGAGTCTGTCTTACATTCTGATTATAATGAATTCCCAGGCATGGGAACATTGGGTCGATGGGAAAGCCTTGAACTTGCTGGATAAAACCTTGGGCCTCAAGTATCCAAGACATGAGGTTCTGAAGTGCATCCACATTGGTTTGTTATGTGTCCAGAAATCTGCTTCCAAGAGGCCTAAAATGTCATCCATTATTCTGATGCTTAGCAGCAACACATCAAACTTCTCATCCCCACGAAAGCCAGCATTTTACATTAACAATCGAGATACTCGGTCTTGCTCAGTAGTGGAGGAACCTAAAATCTCCCAATCAGATCAAAACTGTATTGTATCAATAAACAATCTGACAATAACTGAAGCATATGGCCGGTGATGAAGTTACTAGGACTAGTTTTTTCAGTTTATTTATTATTTGTACGTTGATATCATGCCAAACTGAAGAGCCACAGTTACACAATGAGTGTCTTCTTGCATACTGCAAAGCCTGTCAATTTGTCTTCTTGCATACACCCTTCTTCATTGTTATGTAATTATTCTCGATTCCATCTTTGTAACTAAAGGAATTGATTAATTTGTCCTCTCTTTCTTTGTTCCTTTTATCATTGGCCGGCAAGCATCACATTAATCTTGTCTTGTCTTTTATCGTCTGGCGTGTTTACTTGTAACTAATACAGTTCTGACATTCATCAAATAATATATGTAAATTTTTGCATCAGCGGCGGTTGGAGGGTTTCCTACAGATTTCAATATCAGTTCAGCTCCTCTACTTTTGCTTTTGAACCTAAATGAGCATTTTAGGAAACAATAAGAAAACCAGAAATTGAGTTGCAGATACTCATAAGCAAGGTTACTTCAGAGGTTGCTGGCCATTCTAACTATGCATCTTCTTGTCTTCCTTCTCTTACTTTCATGGGTTCATAATTTTTCCCAACATGTCCCAGCTGCTTACTTCACTTGTCAGAATGACAGGAACTACACGTCTGGAAGTCCATATCAGCTGAACCTGAACCTGACCTTCAAATCCTTAGCTTCTAATGCCTCTACTGATGACTACTCTACTGCTTCCATTGGCTCGGGCCCAGATCAAGTCTACGGTCTCATACAGTGTACAGGTTATACTCCCAGGGACGCCTGCCAAGCTTGTGCAACAAACATGGTCGCTCAGATCACCCAAATGTGCCCTAACCAGAAGCAAGGCTCTATATACAATGAGAAGTGTACATTGCAGTACTCCGACATGGATTTTTTCTCAGATCTAGAGAGCACCCCACGTTTCATCATGTGGAACAATGTGAATGCATCTGATCTTGTTCTTCTAAAGACCAGCTTGGAAGCTTTGCTCAAGTCACTTTGGCCTTATGCTGCAGAGAGCCTTTCCAGGATAGCTTCTGGGAATTCTACATTTACCAAAGTTAAAAATATATATGCTCTGGTGCAATGCTCTAAAGGCATTTCTGGAAGTGACTGCTTGACTTGTCTTCAGAACGTTTCCATGACGTGTTTGCTTTTTCTGGACAAAGGAGAAAGTGGATTTCTTTTTGCTCCGAGTTGTAATCTGCGGTATGATACTCATCTATTTTATTCAGCTTTGCCGGCTTTTCAACCTGGATTGGATCAATCTCCACCTCCCTCACTGCTTGAAGAAGAAAACCAGTCAATAAGTCATGGTTAGTAAACCTTTTTTTTTTTTTTTTGTGTTGTTATGTATTTCTCCATTGATTTAACTAATGACCGAGGATGATTAAAATGTTTATGTTGATGTCTTGATGTTGCAGTGGAAGCCTCTAAGATAAGTGTAATCCTGGTGATGGCTGCAGCTCTTGCTTTGTTGATAGTGTCTGGTACCTATAGTTTCTTGCTTTGGAAGAATCGCAGAAAGAATGGAGTTGGTATCTTAGCTTAAACTCTTTACCATAGACTTATAGCTCTAGTATATATATGTATCCTTACATTTCATTGAATATGCATTTTAATGCCTTCTTAAACAGTCGGGGATAGCAATAGAAGTTTGGAGTCACTTTTGACTGAATTTGATAAACTCAGAGAAGCAACAAACAACTTTGCAGATGAAAACAAGCTTGGACAAGGTGGATTTGGTGTAGTTTATAAGGTATCTAACACTTCAGGGGAAGAAAAGTGTTATTAATATGTCTGGATTAGTCTCAGCAGGTTGTTTTTACAATATCTGAAACAAGAATCTGGCAGGGGAAAATGGTGGGTGGGCAAGAGATAGCTGTGAAAAGGCTTTCAACTGGTTCCAAGCAAGGTCTAGAAGAGCTCCAAACAGAAGTAATGTTGGTTGCGAAACTTCTGCATCAAAATCTGGTGAAGCTGTTGGGATTCTGCATTGATGAAGAAGAGAAGTTGCTTGTCTACGAGTATCTTCCTAATGGGAGCCTGGACAAATTTCTGTTTGGTACTTCCTTTCTCTTTTACTTTACATTGATTCATGGCATGATCTAATAACAAATAGATAAATTGATGATGGTAGTCCTTTTCATCAAATCTTGGATCGATGCAGATAAGAATAGAAGGCTGAAACTTAATTGGGAAATGAGGTACAATATCATTGTTGGGATTGCTAGAGGACTTCTATACTTGCACGAAGAGTGCCCACTAAAGATCATTCACCGTGATATGAAAGCCAGCAACATTTTATTAGACGAGTCCATGACGCCTAAGATTTCTGATTTCGGGCTGGCAAGACTTTTCCCTGGTACTCAAAATCATTGCATTACAACTAGGATTGTTGGGACATAGTAAGAACTTGAACCTCGTCCAACTACTACTTCTAAAATGACTGGTTTTAGACAGCACTTAACATACCAGTAGTTGTTTTTTGTTTTGTTTTCTGGGTGATGGATGAAAGTGGCTACATGGCACCAGAGTATGCAGTAAGAGGGCGATACTCGACTAAATCGGATGTCTATAGCTTTGGAATTCTGGTACTGGAGATCATAACAGGTACAAAAAATTCCAGTTTTCAAGACTCCAGGAATCTTCAAAGTTATGTAAGTAACAATGTAGGCGGAGTAGGCCTCTCATGGACATTTGTTTTCTCCTCTTTAAGGAAATTGGGTCATTGACCTTACTTGAACTTCTTTTGGTAGGCATGGAAGCATTGGGTCAATGGAACAGCTTTGAAGATAGTGGACTCAACCTTGGGCGATGAATTTGAAAAGGATGAGGTTCTGAAGTGCATCAACATAGGACTGTTGTGTGTTCAAGAAGCTGCAGCGAACAGGCCGACAATGTCTGATATCTTATTGAAGCTTGGAAGCTACACTAAGCGTGGTCGAACTCCTTTACTAGCTGGTTTTTCAATCACTAGGCACAGAGCTGCTCCAGATTTATTAGAGGAAGATTCTTATACCACGACCGTATCGATCCGAGATAACACAGACCAACCCTTTAATACCCTTTCATTGGGAACAACACTAACTGAATTAACATGGCAAAGCTAAATTCTCTCCAGGATTAGTTTGTACCATTTACTGGTTGTACAAAACATAGATTCTTGTTAAATGGGGAAAGAGTAAAGAACCATATTATGATTATTCCATGGATCTGGTGTATCTTGAAGCTTCAGCTTTTAGTTTCACATCAGTCTCAAAGTTCACTTGCTATGATCACAAGGTTTAGCTCCTATCCAAATAATCACTTGACCTATAAGAGCAGAAGAAGTCAGTCGTAGATTCTTAAGAGTTTCATACACTGAAGTTGAGTTGGTCTGTCGATTCTTGTTTGCATTAGTAAGGTTGACTACTTCTCATTCCTTTCAGTTTGGCCTGCCCTGCATGACAGCGACCTTATTTGTCTTTTCAAGAAATTTGCTTACTTGTCTTATTCACACTTGAATTAATAATATTCCCTGTTACTACATAAGTGCAGGTTCATGAAAGGTGGTCCTTGGCTTTTATGCTAGCCTGCATATCAAATACTTAAAAGAAATCAGAATATGATAATGATAGGTGGTCATTTTCTCTTCTTTGACCAGAAGGAAACTGAGTTGGAAAAAATGTAGGTGTTACATGCATCCCTTATAACTTGTTCTCCTGAAACTGATTCATTTGCTTCGTAAAACCCTAAGATAGAGTTGGTGAATATTATGATAAAGCAACTTGAACCATATTTTATTGCTGCTCACTTGCTCTTCATTATTTCATGCCTTCTTCATGTTATGAGAGCACAACATTTCCCTTCTTTCAGCTGTGAACTCAACATGAACTACACTTCAGGTAGCCCTTACAACCGAAATCTCAACCTCACCCTCGCTGCATTAGCTGCAAACGCCTCTCGAACTGGCTACTTCACAGCCACCACAGGCCAGAGTCCAGACATAGCTTATGGACTCGTACAGTGCAGAGGTTATATCTCTCCAGAAGAATGCCAATATTGTGCAACGGCATTAGCTGCTAACATCACACAGATGTGCCCCAACCAGAAGGAAGCTGCCATATTCAACGAGGACTGCACATTGCAGTATGCTGATTGGGAATTCTTCTCGGTTGCTGATATTATCCCCAGATTGGGTTTAATCAGTGAAGAGAATGCAACGGACCCAGTTGCATTCAAAAGTCACTTGGGGGAATTGATGAAGAATCTGTCATCAACCGCTGCTGCTGATCCTTCGAGGCTGGCTATTGGGAGGGATAGATATGGAGACTTCCAGTACGTACATGCTATGGTGCAGTGTACAGTTGACTTGTCTGGACCCGATTGCTACAACTGTCTGCAAGCGATGGTTAACGATATTCCGAGGTTTATGGCTAACAGAACAGGTGGGAGGATATTTGCTTTGAGTTGCAATGTCCGGTTTGATAGATATTCCTTCTTTCAGTCGCCACTACCACCAGCTTCTGTCTCTTCTCCACCTCCTTCATTGCTGCAATCAAACCCTACATCTAGAGGAAGCAATTCCTCCAAGGATTATGGTAAAATCCTCTTGCTTCTTCTTCACAGAAAATGATGATTGGAGGTCGATTGCAAGAAGTTATTTTTGGTCATGCTTTTTTTTTATGCAGGCAAGAAAGTCAAGACCATTGTTACTTTTGTGGTTATACCTGTACTAGCTTCTGTGGTAGTGATCCTAGTTGTTTGCGCTACTGTTTATTTCGTCCTTCGACTCCAGGCTTCGAGGATAAATCCCGGTAAATTTTCAACTTGTAGCATACTAGAGCTATCAACCAATATCAGTTTATTGATCCTAGTATTGAATATTTCATGCAGATGCTTCTGCAACAGATGGTGATGAAAGAGCTGCATCACTTTTGGTTAGCCTCAATGTGTTGACAGCAGCAACAATGAACTTTTCTTCATCAAACAAACTAGGAGAAGGCGGTTTTGGACCAGTTTACAAGGTATATTTTGTTCTCAGCATGACTTTGGATCATCAGAGCATTTACCTGGATACTCCTGATTCTTATTTCTGTTCACTTATACCCCCAGGGGAAGTTGCTTGATGGACAAGAAATCGCTGTTAAAAGGCTGTCAGCAAGCTCTAGACAAGGCCTGGAAGAGCTTAAAACAGAAGTAATGTTGGTGGCAAAGCTTCTGCACAAGAACCTTGTACGGTTGTTCGGATTCTGCTTGGAAGAAGAAGAGAAAATGTTGGTGTATGAATACCTACCGAATGGCAGCCTTGACAAGATTTTATATGGTATTCCCAAATACTTTGGTATTTTTTCTCCACCGGATAGAACTGAGTGTTTGCTTTTGTTTTGTTGACAAGTTAGATCCCAATAGAAGATTTGACCTGGACTGGGGGACTAGGTACAGAATCATAATCGGGATTGCTCGAGGAATGCTGTACTTGCATGAAGATTCTCAGCTCAGGATCATCCACCGCGATTTGAAAGCCAGCAACATCCTGTTAGATGAGTCCATGAACCCTAAGATTTCAGATTTCGGGTTGGCCAGGCTTTTCCTAGGAAGTGAAACTCAAGGCAACACTCGGATTTCAGGAACTTAGTAAGTCCTGTTACAAAATAGAAACCATAAATTTAGCGCCTGTGGTTCTTATGTTATTATTGTTTTCCTCTGTAGAAGGCTTGAACATAACAATACTCTTGTTTTCCATGGTTTGAAGTGGCTATATGGCGCCTGAGTATGCTAGAAATGGTTACTTTTCAGTGAAGTCTGATGTCTACAGCTTTGGTATTCTGGTACTGGAGATTGTGACAGGCAGAAGGAATGTCAGGAACCGGAACTCTGTCAACCTTCAAAGTCATGTATGCATCTCAATTCTCACAAGACTATTTCGTATTTTGTAGTTGGTTGATGACACTTTCAGTCCTTATATTATGTTTAAACAAACGGTCCTTGTATTATGCTGTTTATTCGTTTCTGGTCCCTCCAATTGACATTTGTTTTTCAAATCTATTACTGGTAAGGTCGATCCATGCTTAGCAAGCAGTATGCGCGCAGTTGCTGAAAACTCACGTGTCATGTATACTTACGCTCTGTTTGGCAACAAGGGGGTGCAAATTGCAGGGGTGTAAGTTGAGAGGCAAATTGCTGGGGGTGCAAGTGGAGGGGTAAATTATTGTTTGGATGAAAAAGTAGGAGGGGTGCAAATAGAGTGAAAAGTAAGTAATTATATTATTTTAAAGTAGATTTTAAAATTTTAAAATAGATTTTAAAATTTTAAAATATTTTCATAAAATAATAAAATAAATATTACTATATAATAATAAATATACTTTACTAAAAATAGTTATTATATAATAATGCTCAAATAATAATTAATTATAACAATTGTAATGATCATTGATCGAGCGATCTCAAATGCTCGTAACTGGTCATCCTATATAGGGTTTTCGTGTCTAGTTTAATCTTAAATTGTCAAACTTAGTCAAACACGTTCGAATTTGTAAATTTTAACTATTTAGTCAAATAAACTGAGTTAACCAAACACTTTCTCTCTATCTTTTCCACAAACACCTCGTATCTCTAATTTTCAATGCAAATTCGATTCAACCAAGAGATCTAGATTTGACTTGACGAACATTGATAAACTTGTTTCCAGAGTCAAATGGTCAACCCCGAATAATGTTTACATTAATGATATTAATAAAAAAAAGAAATTGATAATATTAATTATTATATAATTATATATAACACAATTAGAAAAATAAAATTCCATAATTCCCCCCTCTCTCTCTCTTCCTTCCTTCCCTTGCACCCCAATTCGGGGGGTAAGCCGAAACAGTAAATTTGCACTCCCGTTTTGCACCCCCCTACTGTTCCAAATTAACCAAACAGGTACAAATGTGTTGGAAACTGTGTTTACCCCTCACATTTGCACCCTCCTCCCATTTATCCCTCTTCCCAAACAGAGTGTTAAAATCTGTATTTGCCCTCAATTCAACATAATTATGGCCAAATGATGGATGCACAGTCATTAGTAATGTGGTTAGTGAGCATGGATCGACATCACTAGTAAATAAATGGATAAGCGACATAGTACAAGGATGTGTTTTGATAAAACGAAATAGTAGAGGGACTGAATGCATCATAAACCCTTTCATAGTTACAGGTCATGAAAGTCTGGTTCTTCAAGTTTAATTAAGTTGTGAACGCAGGTATGGGATCACTGGAACAATGGGATGGCTCTACAGTTGAGGGATCCAGCGATGGGGAATCGATGCGCAAACACCGAGGTCTTGAAGTGCATCCACATAGGTCTGCTGTGTGTTCAGGAATCTGCTGCTGACAGACCAACAATGTCGGAAATCATCATGATGCTCAGCAGCCATACTGTGACATATCCAACGCCTTTGCAGCCGGCATTCTTCATCAACAGAGGGGGGAGCTTTGAAGCAGATAATGATGATGGAGACAGATTTACTGCTGGTGCTGCTGAACTTGTCAACTCCAAATCAGAGCCATTGCAGCTGTCCATAAATGATGTCTCCATCACAGATTTACATCCTCGTTGAGTGTTCATCTCTTTGAATGGTGATTACGTACACAATCTTTTATTTGTCTCAGTTACCAAGAAGAAGATTTGTACACAGAACTAGCTAATGGGTTTTTATTATATTTTTTGAATGGGTAATAGCCTATTTTTTATCTAAATTTTTTTCAGATTTTTTTTATTATCCAAATCTATCAAAATACTAAAAATTAGTCAAATGTTAACTTTCAATTAGCAATTTTGTTAGTAATATTGACTTGACAACATGATATTGACTTGGAAGAGACACATGAAAGCCAACATTCCAATTTTATTTTGTATTTTAACTAAGAAAAGAGGTACAAAGTTATTAACGATAACGTAAAAATGGCTACTATTTTTATGTATTATGAAAGATTTGGCTAATTAATAACATTTTAATAGGATTGGATAATATAAAAAAAATCTGAAAAAGATTTGAATAAAAAATAGACATTACCCGTTTGGAATCCCTCCAAATTTTTTGACTTGGCTTGAGCAAGAGTAAATTTACAAAAACCATCAATCCAGTAATAAGCTAGCACCTAACCCGGTCAACGCGAGCACAAAGTGGCGAATCTCAATGGCTATTGGCAATTAACACATGGACTGTTGCAA